ACGCTCTCTCTCAGTAGGGTCTCTCTCCTCTGTCTCTATGGTAACGCTCTCTCTCAGTAGGGTCTCTTTCCTCTGTCTCTATGGTAACGCTCTCTCTCAGTAGGGTCTCTCTCCTCTGTCTCTATGGTAACGCTCTCTCTCAGTAGGGTCTCTCTCCTCTGTCTCTATGGTAACGCTCTCTCTCAGTAGGGTCTCTCTCCTCTGTCTCTATGGTAACGCTCTCTCTCAGTAGGGTCTCTCTCCTCTGTCTCTATGGTAACGCTCTCTCTCAGTAGGGTCTCTCTCCTCTGTCTCTATGGTAACGCTCTCTCTCAGTAGGGTCTCTCTCCTCTGTCTCTATGGTAACGCTCTCTCTCAGTAGGGTCTCTCTCCTCTGTCTCTATGGTAACGCTCTCTCTCAGTTGGGTCTCTCTCCTCTGTCTCTATGGTAACGCTCTCTCTCAGTAGGGTCTCTCTCCTCTGTCTCTATGGTAACGCTCTCTCTCAGTAGGGTCTCTCTCCTCTGTCTCTATGGTAACGCTCTCTCTCAGTAGGGTCTCTCTCCTCTGTCTCTATGGTAACGCTCTCTCTCAGTTGGGTCTCTCTCCTCTGTCTCTATGGTAACGCTCTCTCTCAGTAGGGTCTCTCTCCTCTGTCTCTATGGTAACGCTCTCTCTCAGTAGGGTCTCTTTCCTCTGTCTCTATGGTAACGCTCTCTCTCAGTAGGGTCTCTCTCCTCTGTCTCTATGGTAACGCTCTCTCTCAGTAGGGTCTCTTTCCTCTGTCTCTATGGTAACGCTCTCTCTCAGTAGGGTCTCTCTCCTGTCTCTATGGTAACGCTCTCTCTCAGTAGGGTCTCTCTCCTCTGTCTCTATGGTAACGCTCTCTCTCAGTAGGGTCTCTCTCCTCTGTCTCTATGGTAACGCTCTCTCTCAGTAGGGTCTCTTTCCTCTGTCTCTATGGTAACGCTGTCTCTCAGTAGGGTCTCTCTCCTCTGTCTCTATGGTAACACTCTCTCTCAGTAGGGTCTCTTTCCTCTGTTTCTATGGTAACGCTCTCTCTCAGTAGGGTCTCTCTCCTCTGTCTCTATGGTAACGCTCTCTCTCAGTAGGGTCTCTCTCCTCTGTCTCTATGGTAACGCTCTCTCTCACTCTCAGTAGGGTCTCTTTCCTCTGTCTCTATGGTAACGCTCTCTCTCAGTAGGGTCTCTCTCCTCTGTCTCTATGGTAACGCTCTCTCTCAGTAGGGTCTCTTTCCTCTGTCTCTATGGTAACGCTCTCTCTCAGTAGGGTCTCTCTCCTCTGTCTCTATGGTAACGCTCTCTCTCAGTAGGGTCTCTTTCCTCTGTCTCTATGGTAACGCTCTCTCTCAGTAGGGTCTCTCTCCTCTGTCTCTATGGTAACGCTCTCTCTCAGTAGGGTCTCTTTCCTCTGTCTCTATGGTAACGCTCTCTCTCAGTAGGGTCTCTCTCCTCTGTCTCTATGGTAACGCTCTCTCTCAGTAGGGTCTCTTTCCTCTGTCTCTATGGTAACGCTCTCTCTCAGTAGGGTTTCTTTCCTCTGTCTCTATGGTAAAGCTCTCTCTCAGTAGGGTCTCTTTCCTCTGTCTCTATGGTAACGCTCTCTCTCAGTAGGGTCTCTCTCCTCTGTCTCTATGGTAACGCTCTCTCTCAGTAGGGTCTCTCTCCTCTGTCTCTATGGTAACGCTCTCTCTCAGTAGGGTCTCTCTCCTCTGTCTCTATGGTAACGCTCTCTCTCAGTAGGGTCTCTCTCCTCTGTCTCTATGGTAACGCTCTCTCTCAGTAGGGTCTCTCTCCTCTGTCTCTATGGTAACGCTCTCTCTCAGTAGGGTCTCTCTCCTCTGTCTCTATGGTAACACTCTCTCTCAGTAGGGTCTCTCTCCTCTATCTCTATGGTAACGCTCTCTCTCAGTAGGGTCTCTTTCCTCTGTCTCTATGGTAACGCTCTCTCTCAGTAGGGTCTCTCTCCTCTGTCTCTATGGTAACGCTCTCTCTCAGTAGGGTCTCTTTCCTCTGTCTCTATGGTAACGCTCTCTCTCAGTAGGGTCTCTCTCCTGTCTCTATGGTAACGCTCTCTCTCAGTAGGGTCTCTCTCCTCTGTCTCTATGGTAACGCTCTCTCTCAGTAGGGTCTCTCTCCTCTGTCTCTATGGTAACGCTCTCTCTCAGTAGGGTCTCTTTCCTCTGTCTCTATGGTAACGCTGTCTCTCAGTAGGGTCTCTCTCCTCTGTCTCTATGGTAACACTCTCTCTCAGTAGGGTCTCTTTCCTCTGTTTCTATGGTAACGCTCTCTCTCAGTAGGGTCTCTCTCCTCTGTCTCTATGGTAACGCTCTCTCTCAGTAGGGTCTCTCTCCTCTGTCTCTATGGTAACGCTCTCTCTCACTCTCAGTAGGGTCTCTTTCCTCTGTCTCGATGGTAACGCTCTCTCTCAGTAGGGTCTCTCTCCTCTGTCTCTATGGTAACGCTCTCTCTCAGTAGGGTCTCTTTCCTCTGTCTCTATGG